GAGCATGGGTCTCACTCATGACCGGTCTCGTTTCAGCCAAGGCTGTGCCCTTCCCCAGCAAAAGTGCCATGCAGGGAGATTAAAAGAATTATGATGAAGCAATTTTTTTACACAAAAATATAAACAATATAAAAATATAATTAAATCATTGGACTCTCTGCTTTCCACATCCCTTTGACTCGTCAGCATGTCTGCATGGGCCATCCAGGAGCACACTACTATGGGACAGCTGGCAGTAAAACCATCATCTTGTCCCATGCTGACATGACATAATCTGGTGTCAACCTAGGCAATGGAGCCACTGAATATCTAACAACAGCATTTCACTGCTGCTCACCAGTGAAGACCTGATCAACACACTGCTAGAGCCAGTGACTTCTAAGGTTTGGTTCAATTGGGTTTTAAGACAACAACATATATAATCACCTTTAATGAACCAGACTCATAAAGATAAAACATATCTTAATAAAATACTAGTGTGTTCAACAGTAATAATCGGTTTGATATGTATTTGTATGTAGTCACCCTGAGAAGACACATTGGACATGTTTTTATATTCCCAGATCATAAACTCAGGGAGGCAAGTGTTAAAACATGAAGGAGATAATGGCTCGGTGCCTGGCCAGGAAGGCAGGCTGGCAGGGAGTGACTCATCTGCCCATTGACTGCACAAAGTACTCGCAGAGGAAATTCATCTGTAGGTTAGCCCAGCAGACTGTCGCTGCCATAATGGATTAAATCTTCCCATCACTGAACTATTGTAGCACTCAAAAAAACATTAAAACATATGCTTGTTTGTGGTGGAAGTTGGTTTAAAAAGGGAAAGGAAAAAAGTAAGCTATGCTCCTGGCCAAGGCACTGATAAACGGCTTCTATACCAATGGCAAGAGTGAGGGAGAGAGTAAATCAGCAGCAGGTTATCACTATCTTATCACTGCATGCTTCTCATTTATCTTGAATGCTCTGCATTCATGCTATGACTCAGAAGCAATACCACAACAGTAGTATTTCAACTGCTCTAGTAGAGAAAGATCTCAGCGGTATCTGCTCTTCCAAATTTATTCTTTGGTTACTTACTCAACATCTTGGGTGACTAGGACCTCTTTGCAGACAGAGTTTGAAAGAACAACAGTGCTTTTTTTCTGCTAAAATAGAAAAGATGGGCCTTTTGGCAGGCTGAATAAAGCATCCCTGTGCCTTCTCCTCTCTGCTTCCAACTGGGAAACAAAGCTGCCCACGTGGCCTTCCAGGCAGGGTGACCTCAGAGTCATTGGAGTTTGCAGTATCCTTCCTCGATTCCTTTTGGCTTTCGTCCCATTTCTCATGTTATACAAAAGGGAGAAGCAGATCCCTCAGAGCTCAAAAACCTCTGCTCAACAAAGAAGCATAGTTCCACTTTGTAAGATAATACACTGACTACTTCTAACCTGGGGAATCTGAAGAGACAACTTTCTTTTTACTGATATACTGCCTAACATATTATCCCTCAGAAATTATTAACCACTAAGACACTACATAGAATGAGAGAATTCACTTTGCCTAAATTCTACAGAATGTGTTTAAGTACCTAAAATGCATCCGAGTGGTAGATGGCAACCCAGCCATGCTCTTTTCCGGGCTGTGTAACTCTGTAGACAATTAAAATGTTTTCACTGATCTAGAAAATTCTCCTGGGCACTACCAAATTTGTCCTGATGTGCCCAAAGGTTATTGTTTTGAGGGATGCAAGCTTGACTTGCAATCTAGGAAATGCAGGTGTTAAAATGTGGGGGCTCTTAGGTTCTCAGATGTCCTCAGCAAGAAGGGGAGTGAACCTGTACCACTTTGTTTCCTCTACCCCCAGAACACAGGGTATCTTAAATGAGACCACTCACTACCATTTCTTCTTGAAGGGGCCACTTCATAACCAAGAATATGACAGAGCAGAATTACAATTGCACTACACCATACGTTTCTCATTGACTTAAGCTTCAGCTGTTAAGTACTCGGACATCTGCAAATCAGGCCTTACAAATGGTGCCCATTAAAGAACGAATGTAGAGAGTGTGCACTCACTAGCGAAAACCTTGGTTTAACTGGGCTAAGCAGGAGCTCAGATGCCGTGGTGTTTCTTTATCCTTCCTGCTTTTTTTCCCTGCAAAGCATCGGGGGCCCTTCCTAGGCATGCCATAATGGAAGCTGCTGCAACTCTCCTCTTGCTGTCGGGGAATTTCAGCAAGCCTGTGGAAGAGCTTGTACATTTAGCCTCCTCCAAGGTCAGACATCTCAGGACACATACCTTGCTCGGTTGCACGCTTCTAAGGCAATGGAAGGATGCATCCCAAAGGTCCGGCAGCATACTGCACTGGCTGAGTCCACCAGTTGCTAGGCTCATCAGGCAGCCTATCCTAAGAGATCCAATCTCTTGCCAGCTTGTTCAGGGCTCTGCTCACTGTGCTTTAAAAGAACAGTTAAACTGTAGATTTCAACTCAAAACAGATTAATAATAATAATAAAGAAGGGATGTAGCAGTATTTTATCAGCCGAACTGCTGAACTGGACCAAAAATGCAATTAGTACTGTATGACTGGAAAAAGCGGTGGGACATACAGTATTCTAGGCTGAGTTTTACTGGATCAGAGGAAACACTTTTCATCTATGAAAAAATAAACTTGGTTTAATCATCTTCCATTTAGTCAGCTGCAATGATCTGTGCACAGGTTTGAGGACACCACGGGAACGCCAGTGCCCAGTTCTCACAGCTGTTGCTAACGTTTGTTACTTTGCACGTAAGGAAGACCGCTGTCTGCCTTACCTGCCATTTCAGCCTTCCTGAAACGCGGCTGCTCTGCTTCATCATGTAGCTTCCCTGGCCTTTGGGCAGATCTTACAGTGCAACAACTTTGAAACAAGCAGAATATAAAAACCAGAACCGTCTCAAACACAGCATATGCGTGGAGAATATGAAGGAAATTTTGAGCTTGACTTTCACTCCAATTTTGCGCCACTATGGCTCTGCTGATTTCAACAGAGTTCTAATTTCCACTGGGCAGGGGGAAGAAGGTCAACCAGCCTCCCACAAAAGAACATTTAGGAAAAAGTTCTGCAGTTCTTGGGAGCAGCTCATCAAATAACTTTACATAGCAGATTACATTAGATGAGGCCCTGGTTACTGACCTATAGGGAAGTGATGAATAAACAATACTTCCAGCATAGGTGGATGAAATTTCTCGACTCATTTTTTTATCATTTTACATGGTAAAAAACCCTCATGGTGCTTGACTATGGGGATCCAGTAGCTATGTTCTGGCTTTGCACTGGCCAGCTACTAACATCCATCACATGGAACAGCTGGCCAGGAGAATTTTTGATTGTAAATGAGACCACCATGTAAAGGGCTGATGCAACTCCAGTGGTGATGAAAAACTGCGCCTTTAGCTGGCCTGTGCAAATGCGGGTAGGAAGACCATCATAAATGCCAATAGCTCCAGGATTCTGGACCCTTCTCCAGTTTCAGTGTAGACACGGCTCCCTGTAGGAAGCTTGTGATTTTCATGGGCAGTAGGATCATGAGTGCAGGCCACCCTCACCCTGTCATCGGTCTTTGTGAGAAGGAATGGGAAGAGGTGGCGCTGTCCTCTGGGGGGCAGGTGGGATAAACTCCACTTCTTGTGATTGGTATCATGTTTCCAGTGGAGGAACTACCACACAATCAGTCTGGACAGTAATGTTTCTGTCATTTTCCAAAACTCTTACCAGTAAGCCAACTACTATAATTACTGTTCTCATGATTTCACTGTATCACACCAAAGTACCTGGCCCTCACACTACCTCATTCTTTGAACCTTTACGGTATTTTAACTCACCTGGTTTCACGGAATCTAGTTCTAAATTTAAGTAAATCAAGAGAGAATCAGATCTTCTTTGTGCTAGCAAGCCTCTCAAAGGATTTACTGTGCTGTAAGCAACTACTCCATTCTCCATTTACTTTGCGGGTAAAACCAAGAATATTCTGTGGAGAATTCAAGTACAGGAGAAACATAGCAGGCAAGTCACTGAAAGAAATTTAAGGCTTACCTTTGTCTGTAAACATGTAATGGCTTAGTAGATTAATCTCCCATTAGACAAATGAACAACACCGGATGCAGCATGCTACAGAAGATGAACTGCATATCAGATGCAATAAAACTCTAATCACAATTAAAATAGTCAAGTAAACATTATCTGAGTCAGAACCAAGCTACAGTAGGGTGGCTCGTCACCACGCTGCTAGGTTTGCAGCGTAGCTCATATGCCAGGGCTTAATGCCTGCATTAAAGTTACCCTGGTTACTGAGGACTCCCGTTCAATCACCTGAAATTGTTCTCTCGGCGGTGAAGAACTGTATGTTTCTTACTGAGTTGGGTTTTGATAAAATGACCCAGAATACAGACACAGATACCTGAACCAGTGTATTTAAAATTGAAATTCAAAAAAACCCCAGAAACAAAAAGCTCCACGTCTTCAGCATCAGCAGTGTGACAAGGAGCACAGTAACCGAAGATGCAGCAAAATTGTCATGATACTGGTAATACAGAAATACTTACCACAGCATGATGATAAATCACAATATTGCTAACTACACTAAGACAAACAGCATATACAAATGAACAAAATATAATGACATAGCTTTAGCATCATAATTTTTCTAGATCAGCGTAGTCATTTGGAAGGACAATCTGAATCACAAGTAGTTCTAACCATTACATGTAATAAAGGCTAACAGTCAATTAAGCCTGCTTTTCTGCAAGATTCGCTGTACTCTGGGTATATGAACATAACCAGACAAGTCTTCAGGTTACATCAGATCAATCAAAACAGTCAACTGAAGAAGCCTTGGGAAGAGTTCAGGAAATTAAAAGCCATATCAGGCCTGCAGCGTGTGCAGTCCTTAGCTGATGTAAAGTATATGGCCCTTAAAGAAAGTACATTCATTGGCATCAACAGAGGTCCAGGATGATTATTTTTAAATGCTTTGTAAACTATGGATACAATTGATAGAAGGATAGAGATTCAGAAGAACTGTATGCTAAGTAATTTGGAAGATACAGGTTACGTGCTTGGATTTTTCCTAACTTCTTCATCCCAATCAAAATCTAATGTAGCATCATCTAGCTCTGCTATCGAGAAGAGAGATTTCTGTGTGACCATGCTGGCTTTGCTGGCATTTCCCAACGCAAAACTCTTCCTTCTGCTAGGATTGCTCACGTGCACCTTCAGCAGGGGGCTATGGCTCTCCTTTTGAGTGTCAATCTTAATGGTAGGTGAGGTTTCCAATTTTGACTCAGGACATGATGCAAAGGAGAATGTTGACAGTTTGGCTAATGTGCTGGAGCGCACCTTCCCTGTGCTTGGGCCACCAAGCTTCTCCTCTCCCTCCCTTTTCTTTTCAGTGGGTGGAGATGACATGGCATCAGAACTGACATCAGAGCGTATTGTTGCCCGTCCTGTTGATCGTTTTTCTAAACTACTTTTTCGTAAGCGAGTCAATGTCACCTTGGACTTCTCAGGGGGACAGCATTCTTCTGGCAGCTGCTCTCCCTGGAGCTGCTCTCCAGGCTTAACAACAGTTTCACTCTGAAAAATAGAAAATTCTTCATTTTTCTTCTCTGAAGAATGATCAAGTTTTGTCCTTGGTTTGAAAGAAAATTTAGCTAGTTTAGCTGCTGGAGGACTTTCACTGTCAAGGATTTCTGGCTCATGGGAACTTACTACCTTTGTTTCCTTCACTACTTGACCTTTACTTCGTTTTCTCATTGAAATTGTCGCAGCTTTTGCTGCTACAGATGTGCTGTTCTTTTCCTCCCCTAGCACAGAATCTGCATCACTTGAGAGATCTGGCAGGCCAGACGCAGGTAATACTGAAGGAAGGGCCTTTGCCTCAGGGTCCTGTGTACTTGTAAAGAATCCATGTGATTTCTCCGTGTGCAGTCTCTGCCAGCTTTTAGAAACCCGTTGCATAATAACTGAATCCTGCACATTAGCACTTGGTGATGATGTGTCTTGAAAATTTGCTTCTGAAGAAAAACAGTTGTGTTCTTCAGTCCTTTTCCTGCTTATCTTGGAAGCTTTGTCCTGTTCCAAAGGAGCATGTAGATTCGCAGCTGCTAGTGACTCTCTCATTCCATTTCCCTTCCTTGATATTGAAGCACTTCTTCCTTCAGAACAAGGTGTTTTACGCAGGGTTTTTGAAGCCAAGTTATTTGGAGATACCTTGGGTGCTGGAGACTTTTTCTGAAAACTTTCTTCAGCATCAGTGTTGCTGTCTTCCAGGCTGTCAAACCATGCTAGGCTGCCATCATCACCTCTTTTACTATGTTTAATTAGCTGGTTTGTGTTTTTGTTATTACCATGTGCTGGGTTGGATAAGGGGTCTGGATGTGCATCGCCTTCAGAGTTGCCTTTGGGCAGAGAAGGCTGTGACCTGGAGTTATTCTCTTGTTGATTTGAAGGTTCTGACTGAGACATTTGCTTTGACTGCCCAAATGTATCCTTGTTCAAGCATCTTGTAGTAGGACTGAAACTTGTCTCTTCAGGCTGCATCTGGCATGAATTTTCATTTTGTAATCTATGGAATGAAAAAACATTGAGCAGTAGTAATTTATTTTTCCTTTTTTTTTTTCTTTATTGCATTTGTGATGCTTAAAATGTATGAATAGTGAAAAGCTACAAATAATGTAGGTCACAAAACTGCATTATTAAATTTCACATATAGCTCCAAACCCTGGTGTTGCAGTCCATGATCTTTCAGCACCTTCTACAGTAAGTGGCAGAATTTAGTGTCCCCAGTAAGAAGATACGCAGATGGACCTAAACCTGAACTTCAATAACCTAAACTTCACTTCCTTGGGAAACAAACAAACAAACAAACAAAAAAACCAAACCCCCAAACAAACAGCTTTTCTCTACTTACAGTCATTGCTAGAGTCCCTTAGGGACTACATATTCTCTAAATATTATCTTCTAGAACAAGAACCTCATTAGATTTCATCCTGAGCAAGGCAAAGCCTCAAACAAGTTATCAGAATGGAAAATCTAGGTATTACTTGGCTTAGTGGTTGCTGGTGATTTTCTCTCACAATCACTATGGACTCAACCTGTCAAAAACTCCATGTGATAACGTGAAAGCACCTCAGATCACCTGTAAAAATTAATTACTGTCTGTGGCTGTTAATGTTCTCAGCGCCCTCCAAAACAACAGAGGTGCCAGAGTAAGGGTTCCCTCCAATCTAATTATAGCTGATACTCTGTCTGTTGTACCTAAGCATAGGGAGATAGCATTCTACTTTTTGCTAAATAGTGATTCTAACCGTGAGAGAAGAGCAGCCACGTTCTATCCCCAAAATGACTGCATTAGTGTTGAAATGATTCCTATGCATTATAAACAGCTTCTCTGCTATATGACAAGAGGAAACACTGCATTGTCATGTATCTTTTAGAATCATTATTATCATTATTTACTAGTATGCTTATCCTTAAAATTTTTATGGGAAGTAGCAGAAATTATCTGACTCATCAAGAAGGGCTGAAAGATACATGCTTGTTTTACTGAAATACAGTTTAGGGGGAATGCATGGGACAAGTCTTCTAATATAGAATAGGTTGTTTTAAAAAGGACATTCATTTAGTATACTCTAAGCTGATTAAGGGGCGGGGAAGAAGAAATTAGCTAAATTTGCAGCATAGGGGATTAAGTGGGATATTGGGAAAACCTTTATGAGCCTTAAGATGGAGCAATAATGGAACAGACTACCCAGTGGCAATGGAAAATCCTCTTCGTTAGTAGGCCTTTGGAGCAGGTAACACAAGCCCCTGCCAGGGAGGTCAAACACAGACCTCATCCTGCCTTTGTATTTGATCTCCCACCTCATCCTACATTTCTATGATCCTTTATGAACACCTCTGTTTTAAAACTAGCTTTTGTCTGTCTTTGGGAGATATCCCACCTTCACCTGCTTTTACTACCTCTGTGATTATTTAAGATGTCCGTAACATAAGTTACAAAATAAGTCTGAAAAATATTTGAAGGAAAAACTGTATTTTCCCAGCTGTTCTTAATTCCATTAGCTTTGATAACATTAATCTCTTATCTTCCTTTAATGATAAGAAAGTAGGAGTTCCATGAGAGCTTAATCTCATTTCAGGAAACAAATACTTTTTTTTTTTTAAATTTTGTTTCCTTCCAATCCTAGTGTTTTCCTCTCAGCCTCAGTATGTTAGAAGTTTTCTATTAATAACAGCAAATAGACATTCCAAAGATTATTACAGTGAGCTGAAAACTAGAGAAGAGACAGTGAAAATTCTAGCATGTAAAAGAGAAAAATCACCTGAAAGAACAGAACTTTGATTCAGGCTTGCATTTTCCATTAACAGAAAGGGAAGGATCCTGACAAGCCCAACAGAAAAGGCAGCTTAAAAAAAATGAAGCAGATCTGCTGTATTTTACCAAGCAAGCAACAAAAGGTTATATAAAATTATTTGCTTAGCTACAGAATCTGGCATTTTGACCCTAAGAAGCTCCACTGAAATTTATGTGAGCATAGAATTGAGATATGATTGGGAACTGATTAAAATGTTCTTAATTTCTTTGTAAATTCCATAACCCAGAGAGAAAAATGATCTTGTGATGATCTCAGAGCGCTACTTTAAAACAAACTCCCTGATTACCCATGTCATCTAAAGAACATGTCCCTTCGCAATGTCAGATTCTATTTTTAGACCCTCTCCAGATATTATTGGCAAACAATCCTTTTTTGCTACTGAATTATTTTGTTACATTGCTTATTATAACCTGTCGAGTCTTTGTAGCTCTTTGTGCAGAAGATCTTGCAGCTCCAGTCGCTCCAATATGAGTTCACACTGTGTTCGGTACTGCGCCATTGGATTTTCTGGAAATGAGGTGTGTAAGGCATTGATGCCTCCGAGAAGTGCACCCCCCTATGTCACCAAAGAGATAAAAAAAAAAAATAGGAAGCTATCTTTCTTATTCCATACCAAATTTAAACAGCAGAGACTTTTCATACAATCTTCTCCCTTAGATATTTTAAAGCTTAAGGTAGCAAATATTTACTGAGTAACTGTATTCACACAAATAATCCTACTGGGTCTGCTTACACAGGCAAAGTTGCTCATACGCATGAAGCAATTACACGATCAAGCCTGCAGTTGACTTGTACTGGTTATTTTTATTGATACAGAAAATGGGAAGTCCGCTCAAGGCTAAAAATGGAGATTAGGATTAAAGAAGTTTTCCAAATACCATACTGTCCTGGTTTCAGCTGGGATAGAGTTAATTTTCTTCATAGAAGCTAGCATAGTGCTGTGTTTTGGATTTAGTACTACAAGAATGTTGATAACACACTGATGTTTTCAGCTGTTGCCAAGTAGTGCTCAGACTACTCAAGGACTTTTTGAGCTTCTCCTGCTCGGCCAGGTGCATAACAAGCTGGGAGTACAGCACAGCTAGGACAGCTGACCCAAACTGACCAAAGGGCTATTCCATACCATAGAACGTCATGCTTTCTCTCTTACTAAACTGTCTCTCTCTCAACCCACAGGTCTTACTTTTTTTTTCTTTTCTCCAATTCTCTCCCCCATCCCACTGAAGGAGGGGGGAGGGGAGCGAGCAAGCAGCTGCGTGGTGCTTAGTTGTCAGCTGGGTTAAACCACAACACTTATAAAAATTATAAAAATTCTGCCCATGTGGGACACATTTATAACTGAAGGAGTTCTGATTGCTAGAAGTTTTCATTAGCTTTGCCTAATTATTTAAATGGAAAGACCCAGGTATTAAGGCTTGTCAACATGGGGTAAACTGACCAGCAAAAATATTTCTGAATAGTTCTTTAAGAGTAACTAAGTATTCAGGAATAATTCCAGAGAGCAAGTGATTTTAATCTGGGACAATTTTGCTGTCCCTTGTGAGAAATTAAGTAGTTTTTATTTGGAACCGAGCATCTGCACAAAGTGATTTGTTCCGCAACAAATAATCTAGAATAGCTTTGTAGTTACTCTTTTACCTAGCATTTACCACTCCTGTCTAATCTATAAAGCTCAATACAACTAATGAACAAGACGCATATCATGTGCCATGAGAGCAACAGCAAAAGTCAACAGAGTCTCCAGAACCAGGAATTGCTATATATGGCTTCACACGGACTGCACATTTTCATTTGTGGCAATTTCTGGTTCTTCTATTTTGAAATGTTAAAATTTTGTATTTAAAAAAAAAAAACTTACATTGAAAATTCATTCTGGTGGCTAATTAAAGCCCTCTAAAACTACACAGTGCTAAAACTAAGGCTGTCCGTGCAATCATTAATGCATCCCATTGAAGTTATCACTTGGTGGTTTTTTGCAGATCACTTCAGGAACATGATAGGTCTGTTCCACATAGAAGCAGAAGTCAGTAGCCATGGAAAAAGCTGTCATAGAACCTCTCTGCTGTATTTGTTTCAAGGACTGGTAGGTTCATAGTTAATGAGGCAGGGACTGTAGAAAGGGAAGTCCAGTCTCTTGGTTAGGACAGTTAAAAGCAACCAAGGAGCACTAGTTTACACCTCTGACGCTAAGTTCCAGTTCTTGTGATTCGCAATGAGCCAGTTAAGCAAAGGTTTTGAAAGGTGACAAATCTGTAACTGGGAGCCTGATGCGGGGTGTGTGCACAGAAGGCAACTGCAGTCAACAGGAAGCATGCTCAAATACTCAAAGTGCTACTACTCTGAAACTGGGGCCCTAACCGTCTCTCATGGGGTATGCTCCAGTGGACAATTTCTTACTGATTGTGCATAATTCAGCTCCAAAACATGGAACAGGAGTAACACTAATCCATCACTTCACAAGGACTGTGTGAAGTGAACTGATTTTTCTGAAATACTCAAATACACCGGACAAGAATTCCATAGAAAAACACATGAAGAAATTGAGAATTCTACCTTTAGAACAGCAGGTAATAAAACATAAACATTGAGCAAGACACTGAGAAAGGATAGTTGCTTTTGGCTTGAGTACTGTCAACCTGGGACCTAAGGATCCAATGGAAAAAAAAAGGAATAGATGATTATGTATCTTGAGATACATGCTCAAGGGGTACAATTATGTCTTGCCCTCACTGACTTTTCAGTGCTTTACTTCGCTATCACAGTGAGTTTCTTTTACACATTCCTCTGTGTGGGTGGGTGTGAAATTCTAAGTGGGATGGGACTGAATTTAAGGTATCTGTGAAGTTTCATTCCTGTGCTGGTGCTTACGTCTTTGTGATATATGCCCCTCTGAGATACCACTTTGAGGAGAGGAAGGTAGCCATATGACAAATCCACATACTGAGGAACTGAGAGCAGAGGATCTAGAACAAAGAGAGGAAAAAAGAAAGTATTACAGGGAAAGTTAGCAGAAAGGAAGGTGTAAAAGTGCCTAAGGATGGGAAGACAAAATGTAAAAAGGGACTGGAAAAGGAATAAAACAAGGATGAAAACATGACTAAGAGAGGGAGGGAGACAACGTTAACAAAGAGGAAATGAGGCAAAGAAAAGGTCAAGTCAGGGGGATTAGAATAGGCTCACAAAGTAGTAAAGAGAAAAATAAGAGTGAATTAGAGGACAAAACAAACAAAAAGCTCCAATGAACTAGGTTGGTGATGAAAATGTGATAGTCCTCCTTCCCAGGAGGACTCACAAAAATAACTGACCACTGACCTGAGAACTGTGAACTTTGATTTTATACTGGCAAGAATATGACTTTTTTTGTAGTTGTGAAGACAGTGTTGAAGACAGAGTTTGCTGAGCTGAAAGGTGGCAACCAGTCTTTCAAGAATGACACTGGTACTTCCCCATTTACAACCTCATTCTAACAGACTGACAATTAGGGGGAAAACACGGGATGTATCTCTAGTTTTTTGGGTTTTTTTCTAGAGAAGGAATCAATTTCAGGAAATAAAGTTTTGTATGTGACTTCTATTTTTTTTTAGTAAAACAAATAAATCACTTCCTTCAAAAATGTACCGTTTCAGTGATTCATTTATACTTTCCATGAAGAAAGTAAAATTTGGCCTTAAATAGCAGATCTCAAATTTGCAGATTCCTAACAAAAATGAACACATTTGCCTACTCGCTCGTAGGAAGTGAAGAGTGGAGCAAAAATAATGAGCCTACCAACTACTCCCAGGTAGTCTTCTGCAGCCACAATTCAGGTAAATTTCTCACTGACATTTATTAGACAGATGTTTGTTATGCAAACTGCAGCCCTTGAGGGCAGGGCTGTATAAAGATGAAAAAGTGACCCTCAGTTAAAGCAATTCCTTTACATTTATTCATGCTGATGAGGTGGAGAGATACACAGATGACAATACACATTTATTGTTATTATATACATGTTCCACTTTTTGATCTGTTATGAAAAAAAAATTATGAGTATTTCAGATTTCTTATATCCAAAACCATATTGCTTTGAAACCAGCGTCCCATCACATTCCATCTAGTTAATTACAGGTTTAATTACAGTTAATGAACACTTACGTGATATCTTCTGCTGTTTCAACTGGATGTATTAGTACTTATTTTAACTTAGATGCAGTGCTGTCATTGAAAAGCTGAGCTCTTCAAAACAGTGCAAGATGAATTGCAGCAGACAGCGAAATAATCTTTTGCTACTTAATAAGGTCAGGCCCTGTATTATTTTTGGGACAAATCCATTTGCAACACTGTGCAGTAGACTATCCATGGCACAAACTGCAATTAGTCTCTCAACCCTCACTGAAAGAACAAGGGAGATCACAAGTGCCTACCTGCCATATGTGACTGTGTATCTATCCTGAAGACCTTTACCTCCGCAAAAGGAACATATCTACTCCTGCAAAGGTCTTTAAGGCCCATTGAGCTAATGGGTGCTATATAAAATTGTTTTAATTTGAATATATTCATATCAACATATAGAGAATGTAGGAAATGCCACTTTGGATCAGACCAGTCATCTGTGCAGTGGAGCCGACTATCTCTGACAGAGCCAAAACCAAGCATTTCAGACATGCTAGAAAACCCCACGCATAAAACTTTGGATAATCTGATTATGGTAGTTTTTTTTTCTACTCCAAAGCATGAAGATTTATTTTCCTTAAAAATACTGTATCTGAAGTAATACTGCCTATATTATTTTCCACATTTCCATTTAAAAAAAGCCTCCACCAGATTCACATTCCTTTTATTAATACTAAACGCATTGCTTTTTCTTTGCATTCAACATCCTAAAAAAGTTACAGTAAACTAAAATCTAGCCTTCCACATTTTTTACACAGAAACATTACACAAATCCACGTGATAACTGCAATGCACAATTTTCAGTGTCTGGCAACAAAAGTTTTGAGTTTTAGCATCACCACCGATGTATTTTAAAATGATCTAATGGCAAAATAAAGTGTAGGTCTTCGCAACTGTTAGAAACTTGCTCAAAAAAAATTACTTGGTTCTTTCATACCTAGTTAATGAGTGATAAGATAACATCGTGGAAGAAAAACTCAGAGGCTGTTAAACGCAGCAATATAGACACAATTTCTGGCTCAAAAGGTCTTTAAAATGTAGATTACCAAAAGCCAATAGCATGCCAAAACTTCACTTAGACTGAAAAGTCTATAAAAAAATGTACCAGGCCTGTATCACCAATCCAGATTATTCAGTATCATCTCTGTTTAAGGATTTTAATAATCAAGATGGACTAAAAAATTGCTTGTCGAGGTCTCTGATGACCTACTTTCCATGAGTCCATGAAACCCTCTCCAAAGAGATGAAGGGAGCTGGCATATATTTACATGATAAACTGAATCCCTTAAATGTGGTACTGCAGCAATGGCAATGTCTGCAAGAAACCTTACCTGCATAGAAGATTCCATCACCGATACCACAGTTACAGCATCTTCCAAAGTCACAGTATCCCTAAACATCAATCGGGCATGAGCTATCAAAAATAAATGGGCATTGAAAACAAGCTTTACCAAAGTCAAAAAGCATTTTTTTTTTGTACTAGAAGAGACAGGATATTTCTTCAAATTTCTTTAGCTCTTCAAACACTTGTGTATGGGCCTAACTTAAATATGAACATAATCCTTTTGATTTTAGTGTCAATTTTCACAAGAATTGGAAGGCTTAGTTTTACTAGTAAAGAATGTGATGTGACTTCCGGATTACAGTTACAGTGACAGTTTGAATAAAAACACCTAAAATGCTAGAGTTAAAAAATGTAAAGTGCTGGATATCACATTCATCACAGGTCAGAAAAGATTTGATTTCCTCTAATTGGTCTGTGTCACGAATTTGGTATTATTTAATATGCTTTTCTCTACAATAGCTTTATTTTTTCTTCCTTCCCTTTCCTAAGTCAGCAAAACAAAACTGATTTTTCTAAATGGATATAATGCAATAATTGGCTGTGGGAACACACACAGTTCTCATTCAGCAAGAGAAAGACAGGTAATTAATAACATCTATACAATACCTTGAAAGAACAAAATGCTACTAAAAGCCCCAATCACGTGAACACAGAAGAATGGAAGAGACACTGAACGTGAAAATAACACATGAATCCCTAAAAGTTAGGAATGCCTTTCATTTAAGTAATTTTTCCCCCAACACAGAGAACAAAATATAAACATCCTATGCAGGAAGCACTATATTGCTGACTGGCATATAAAAGCATAAAGACCATTTATGATTGTTATACAGAAATACAGTGCATTCTTTTAAATTCATCCTGAAAATATGTGGTATGCCACTTTATGAAACAAAATCCTGTTAAGATAGAGACCTACTGCTTCCTTTGGTTTTGTTCTTATAAATGAAACACAATTTGAATTCGGAGTTGGAAATGTTGAAGTCCTGTTGCAAAATACAGACTTGATTATTGATACTTAAGGAAACAAAAATGTGTTATTTTTGATGTTATATTAATTTCAGGATAGAAACAAATACCTGACACCTTTCCTCAGGCTGAGTAGGATGGCAACCCAGGACTCAAATGAAGTAAAATAAACCCTGAGATTGCTTTTCATAAAAACACATAACTTCCAAGATTTTTCCTTTGGATGTTATGTCTTCCAGTGGTTTTAGTTTTTATTACGGGTGTGAGAATGGCAAAATCAAAATTGATTTTGATAATCTAAATATAACACCCTTTCCCATATTCAAAATCCCCAACCTCAATTCTCTTTAGATTAGAAAGATAGAATACCAGAATCACCTATCCCTACCTCTATGGAAAACCTGCTACTGGCTATAGTTATACTCCTGATCTATTCATTTTATACAGGTTAATTGTTAGCCTAAAAATAAAATTGTCACGGCCTTACCTTCTGCAAGGCGAATCAAACTCTCTAATAAGCGAATAGTAGTTCGGGCAGCATTTCTGCAGTCACTCTGACGCTGCATTTGATAGTAGCGTGCAAGGATCAGGTTGCTCTCATCAGACAATTTTGGCTGTATACTTTTTATAAGGCAGAAGTAGGTCTTCATCTTTTCCATGCTCCAGAGCTTTTCTGACTTGCTTGGGTAATCTGTGTAACAACTGCCTAGTCAGTAATTTTACAGCAACAGACATTAAGCTTTTTCCCAGGAATTCCTGTTAAATATAGAGGGGACTATATAAGACGTATTACTGTATTTTTGGAGCATACTGGGTTGTCTGAAGACTAGTCCTCAAGGACTTGGTCAAGTCCAGTGTGGAATCTTACACACCATCCAATCCCTCCCCTATCAAAATCCATAGTAAAGCCTCCAGTAATTTCAACGGAACTGCTGTCAGACTCGCTGCCTACCAGATGGTACAGGCAGTACTAAGTGCTCTAGTACTCCTTAGAATGTAAAATGTATATACCACCTCCGGCCATTTTACCTACTTTGTAGGAGTCAAAAGCTATCTATCTGCCATATTCTGAACATTTTTTGCAGGGAAACACTTTGGGAAGGGAAGGAAGCTAGTTGAAGAAGTTTCCTCTAACTACTGCTTCCCTAATGGGGATCAGAGCCATGTTCCTGAAGTAGATGGAGAAGGGACTGGTCAAAATCAAATCACGCTGCCTTCCCCAATTCCAGCGCAACAGAACGCCTCATAGGGAACACTACCGTTCACTCTTTGAGCACTGCAGCACACGCAGCTCAGATTTGTTCTGTCTGAATTAAGTTTCCCATCAACAGCATATATAATCGCGTGGTGTATAGGATCTGCACATCAAGCAAGGTAAAGGCGCAAGATAGAAACTATCCACTTACTGAGCAGTGTGGGCCAAAATTTCTGTAAGTGATCACAGAGTAAAAAGTACAGTGTTCTCAGCTCACCCCTATTAATTAACTAGTGATTAATTAATTAGATTCCTACCTGAAAAAAAAAAAACGTACTGCAGGAAACTGCCAGAGCAAAAATGTAAACACTGACTAATATGAAAGACTCAAGAATAACAAACTAAACTGAAAGGTGGGGAAATTAAAAAAAAAACAACCACCAAACCAAAACAACATTGTAATTTAAAGACTGCTCTCACCTTTATTTTGCAAGATGAAGGATGAAATGATGCGGTCCCATTCCTCGTTCTTTGTATCTAACAATACTAAAACCAGGTCAAATCTGCTCAACAGCGGACTGCCAAGAGCTATGTTGACAGAGACAGACTCATTAGGGTCATAATGGCCTTTTGGGTTTGTTGCTGCCAGGATCGTTGTCCTTGTATTAAGCTTGCACACCAAGCTAGAGAAAAGTATGGTGAATGTTAAAGGTTGAATTAAATCAGGTAGGGGAAATGATTCCAAAGTGTTAAAAATTATCACATTTTTACGTTATGAAGAGCACATCTTACCTTGAAAGACCGTAAGAGCCACACAATATACACAATTATTGTATTAATATATATTATCTATACAGCATTTCTCAGGCAGAGAATATAACTACACAGAATGACAGTGATCGATATCAAAAGTAACTAAGCAATACTGCCATGAGTAATCTCTATATACAGCTAGGTCATTAAATGGTGAAAACCAATGTAGGTTTGCAGAAATAATTATTACTTTGCTGATTTATATAGTATAGAAACACTTTTTTAATGATGGGATGTAACATTTTAGCTTAATTCACATTTTAAGAAAGCAAAATAAAATGTAATATAAATGCATGTTTTATTCCTGTGTGTAAACATGTTATGAATATGAACCCAACCAAACAATGATGGCAGCTGTATCAACTGTTTCTCCAGGAAAATCGCCATTTTCCTCTCTTAACCATGCTATCCTGTCATGTGTTTTTAGATGTGGGGAGAGATTATTTTTATTCGAGTAGTCCAAATGTAATCCTTTTGGTTAAGGCAGCAGCAGAAGTATTCTAACTTGGGTTTGTCACTGAGCTATTTCTAGTCAGCTCCTGAGTAACTGCTGCCTTGAGTCCAAAGTTCTTCTGCAACTGAGAGGAAGGACCACAGATCTTCTATTCACTTATACCCAGTGAGAAAACCCCTTTATCTCCCATGCACCAAAATAAGACCTTAAATTAACAAAGTGCTTAACCTATCTGTGCGATGTTACTACTCAAAAAATCCTCATTAGATGTAGTCCTTAAATGTGAGGAACTGAGGTTGTATGTGCAAGTTAACAAAACTGTGTTTTGTGGTCTACAAAACCCAACCAACTGCAACAAGGAACCTGGCTAAAATATGCCACTATCTTACTAAGTAGTAGGACCACATTGACTCCAAATACTTGTCCCCAACTGGATTACTGGCAAAGGCCAGTAATCTCCCAGGTGAGAGCAGCATTACTTGTCCGCTGTCTGCCTAGCATATTTACAAGGGGATGCATCAGAATTGAGTTGGGAGAAAAAGCAACACGTTAGAAGGTATTTTTATGATGAATGGGTAAATTAAGGCAAATTCATGGTTGTTTTCAACATACAGCATAGCATAGCTAATATCATGACATAGGGAAAGGAAAGATGCATTAGATCTGTCTTACTGGCAACAGCAAAATGTTCAGCAAAATTCCCAAGAAGAAAAGAGGCAGAAAGGAGCCGAGTTATGAAGCACTTAAAGGCGTTAAAAATGGCATAAAACCAAAGAGGCTAAAGAGAGCTTCAGTGGAGATGCTCAGAATAAAGGACAGTACCACTTACAGGAGCCAAGATGTGACTGGAGCAAGAGCTGAGCTGAAGGCGACAAGGAGGAATGTGGAAAGGGTGACACCTTTTGAGCAGCAGAGATTTCAGCAATACCAGCCAGGAAATTACTTTGGGCCTGGACAAGACCTGCATATGACTGATGGAATAAGATTTCAGCTCCAAGATCAAAGTGGTGGTGGGGAAATCGCAGATTTGAACACACACTACTTTGAAAAAGAATGCGAGGAACTGAAAGTGAGCAGTTTATGCCATGCCCCACATAGACAATTCAGCAGCCTAGAAATCTCTCGGTTTTCTTCTGTTACCATGCAGTATTGCTGGATTTTGGAGAAATGAAGTTCCGCTTTCTGATTTCCAATAAAAATTTCACAAAGTTCCTTATTTCACATATGATTATTATGACCACTTGCAGCAAAGGACAAGAAAAAGAACACCAAGTCTTCTCAGGAAGGTGCCCTGGTCTACAGTGGCAGACTGAAAACCCAACAGTGAAGAGGGTATGTATTTATTCTGATCACTTGCAACCTCTGGTCCAGCGCACTGTCCTTTGAAATGTTGACTCATCTAGTTTAAGAATACTGCCGAGAACAAAACTATTGAAGTACAACAAAGAAATCAGCATGACAAACCTCCCTCCAACTTGTAAGTACAAGAGAAACATCTTATGTTGTTTTACCACCTATGTTAAGATGCCACTTACCCTGCCTTTGCAACACTGATGGTTTGTTGCTCCATTGCTTCATGGATACTAGTTCTGTCGTGTTCTTTGATACTATTGAACTCATCGATGCAACAAAGGCCTCCATCTGCAAGCACCAGTGCTCCAGCTTCCAAGTTCCACTCCCCAAAGTCCTTCACAGCGGTCACTGTCAAACCTGAAGAATCAATTACTTCAGTCAGTCTTTTCTTTAAAATGCAGGAATG